AAATATCTTAATTAGGCGAAATAAGCGAATGCATTCACTCTATTAAAGACTCTCAGACCATTATAATATCCTTCTCCCTTTTCAGAGTTTTTTTTATCGTGTAGAAATGTACAGTGATCAGGAAAGGAAACAATTTAGAAATTATGTGCGAGATATTTCAAGAGTACAACGTAATCATGTTGCTAATCGTATAGAAAGACTTGCTTCACAACAAAGTAAACCATGGCAGTATTTCATTGGATGTGTTATGTTTTCAACTGCAAGTGTTTTGCTGATTTTTAAGCTTTATGGTCCTCGCCATATATTTAAAAATAGTATGTATTACGCTCGCCCACTTCCTGCAGCAATCAGTATGGGCGTAGCCTTGTTTGGTCTCATATATACATGTCGTGGAATGTTAATACGCAATCGCATTTGTATCATGATAGACGATTATGAGTACGAGCTAAAGAGAATTAAAGCTCATCATTGCGAAGAGGGAGTTGATCAACTTGCATGGCTAGAATTTATCAAAGAAGGTGTAAAGCAGGAATCTGAAAATCGCTTTGATTTTTCTAAGCTGAAAGAGTGACCATACATTGTGAGAATACAGAAAATGCTCAATTTTAAAATGATAGTGAAATAATTATAGCTATACATTTAATAACTATTTTAGTTTGATATACTGAATTTTTATTTGCTTTCTTATTTCAGTTTTTTTTTCCCATCATCTTCAAGAAAATGGATGCACAAAAATATAAAGAGAGAATTCTAGGTCGCTTTGATACTGTTGTTAGATATTTTTGGGATGGGCTTCCCATACCGCCGTTTGTTTGCTCAAAAGATGACCCTTCCCGAGGAAGCTTTACAATTCGAACTCTCGGTTACTCCCCTGATTACAGCAGGGAAACCTTAGATATTTCTCTTGATTCAATTGAAAACGAATCTCTAAACTTTCAACCACTTAGTAATCGTGAGCCTATTACTACTTCTATGAGTGCACGTATTGGCTCTCATTATTCACCATATGTTGGATTTTTCTCATTCAAAAAGATTTCTACATCACCGACCAAAGCTAATACCCTTTACAGCGAATTAGAATTCCTGTTGAACACTGTGAGGATGAATGTGAGATAACCCCAAATTTTCACACTTTCGCTCAATACATTCGCACAAGCAAGCTAATTGAGCTATATGGGCCTCTTGTCAGAGAACACTCTCCGATTAGCCAAGCAAGTTTGAAAAAAATTCTTGCACTTTCAACAAGGGGTATGAAAATGAATACAAGGGAAGCTGTTGTGTCTGAAGTTTGCTGTGTAAGTGATGAATATGTGCGCTGGGAAAGTGAAGAAATTTTTTTTTACCTATGCATCAATCCACTTGTCTGCAAGATTTTTTCACCCTTAAAATTGAAAGTATCCCCCGAATATTATCATCCTCAACGAGTTGAGCTTGCTGAAAATAAAAAAGAGGCCTTGAAGCTCTATGTTGCTCTTGCAAAGAAGAATTTAAAATCAACTTTACTATGGAGTGACAACACTCACTACTTCTTTGCTTCGTTACACAAAATATGGGAAACGCGCTATGCGAATTTGACACTGTTTGATTTAGAATCGATTAGCGGCAGTATCGATTCTGAAATCTTTTTAAATCATATCAGCCTTACAATGAAGACGGTATTCACAAGGATTCGAATCGATTTCCTTTCCAGTGTTGAGGAGCTTTTTTTTTCTCATGTCCCAGATGCAAAGGAGGCAATATTGTTGAGTGAAGAGGATTTAGAAAAGAGTAACTATCATAGAATCTTTACGGCAGTTGATATATACTTAACCAATCAACTGCGTAATTCGATTGTGCGTGATCTTAAAAAACTTTTCTGTTTCTTTCAATGTAGCGAAATTGATGCCATTCGATCTGATAGAAAAATGGCGCTGAAGAAAACTGTTCTAAGCGTTTCGATGGTTATTGGAACAAACTGTCGGGTATCCTTGCCAAGCTTCTCACGTCTTTGTATTGGCATTTCTGACCTCCTTGAGGAGTTGAAAAAGGAGGCAAACTCACTTCCTCGTGCGCACAAATCAATTTTCCGCAGTTTAAATATAGAAACACATTCCATGGTGGTGGTCATGCCAATGGAGTTGGAGTGCTTCCGTTTCATGATTATCAATTCTTTAGAAAAAACAGGCCATATTATTGACGATTTGTCTTCAAAGTTTTCTCAATATTCTATAATTCCAGTGATGACGACCCCGGAAACCACTGGGGATTTCTCTATCAATGTGCGTGAGGCTGTATCACATGCCAGAGAACATGTTTTTAACATTTATTGCAATCTCTCCAATGTAGTCTACAGTGGTTGCTTTGAAATACATTGTCGTTTGATTAAGGAGCATTTCGCTGCAAGCTGGGAGAGTTACTTGGAGTGCTTTTATTGTCAACTCAATACATCAGTTTTTAATTTTATTATGCAGGCTGATGCTAAGTGCTTACAGGCACAAGCGGGCCTGGAGCGCATTCCTCAATCTGTGGATGACTTGAGGATACTCTTGAAGCATACTGAAGAAGTAAAAAAGCTGGTGAGGACTGTCAAGTTAGTTGAGTGCAACGATGCAATTCTTCGCATTTCACACATGGAAAGCAACCTAGTTCCTATACAACCCAATGTGTACGAATCTGCTATGAAACTGATGAAGTGGCCTGATATTTTAGCCAAGCAGATCATATTATCAGAAGAGGCAATAACAAAAGCTAAACCTCAACTTGTTGTGAGCCTTAAATCGCTCTGTGCCAATACTCGGGGGTATATAAAGACACTTTCCACTGGAATTACTGAGCTTTACAACATGTTTACCTTTAGCATACGCGACGTCGCCTTTCAAACATGTATTGAGCTGCAAAATCTAGTGGATCAAATTGACATCTCTGTTAAAACCATTTCAAGCCAAGAAGCACTCTTGGGAACACCATCTGTTGATTCTTTTGAAGATTTTTTTGTTTTACATAACCATTTTGATATTGTATCACAGTACTGGACCGAAATAAACAGAAGTGCACGATTACTTGAGTATTACAAGTGTCCGATTGGTTCACTTAAGGCAGATCAAATGATCGAAGACGTGCGTGAATGCCGCCGACTTTTACATGCTTGCACTCACCGATTACGAGCTTACACTCCTCTTGTACAGCTAGCACTCCAACAAGAACTTAAGTTATCTAAGCTTGAAGCTTTGGAAGAAATTTTGCATTTGATCACTATTCCTGGGCTTCGGAAGCATCATTGGAAAGAAATTTCCCGCCTATTAGCTACAAAGCTGAAGGAAGATGCTCCCCAAGTTGTGGACATGACTGCTCCACTACATAAACTTCTTGATGCAGGGATTATGAACCATTTAAAAGAAGTTACCAGAATTGTCTTACAAGCAAATAATGATTTTTTGACTGAGGAAGCTGTGGAGGAGATGAAAAGTGTATCAAAAAAAATCTTTTTCAAATTTACAAAGGCCTCGTGGAGTCATGTGCCACGACTTGCGATCAGTGAGGAGTGCCGTCACAGTATGTTGTTACAAATTGAAGATTTCTTTTTGAGATCTCAGATGCTGATGAAGAACATGTCTCTGAGCACACCAGTCCTCAATATATTAGCGGAGTGGAAAAGCGCCGTAAACAAGTTACAAAGGGTTATTGTAGAGTGGAACAATGTAGAAGAAAGATGGAGCAAGCTTTGCAACTATATGTGTGTACTTCAGTGCAAAAAGGATGGCATACGCGCTCTCATTCTTGAGAAACTCACACAAACGGATGAATCA